CTTAGTACTGGTCCGGCCTCACTTCGAAGGCATCGACCTACCGGCATTCTACCGGTACGGTATGGTACAGCGCACATTAGTGCTGGCGCTATTCTTAGCGCAGGAGCAAGGAGCAGGCAGCAGTAGCGCAGCATTAGCGCAGCAGCGGCGAGTGGAGCAGCAGCAGGGCGACTGACCCAGATCGGCGGCCATCGCCGCCTGAGGTATCAGGGAGCCGGAGGTTCTCTCCTCCCTCCCATCGTCAGTCCCCTCTCTCTCTCTCTCCTCCTCGACTCTCTCTTCTTCTCTTCAGACTTCTTTCTCTTCTTCTTCGTATCCTTCTTCTTCTTCTTCTTCTTCTTCTTCTTCTTCTTCTTCTTCTTCTTCTTCTTCTTCGGATTGGAGACTTATACTAGTTGGACAGAGATCAGAGTTGGACTTCGGTGGTAAGAGGCTGTGGTACTTACTGGATTGGAGACTTGGAGATTGTTGGGGTTGATACTTGGCGGCATCACAGTTCGGACACCGGTTACATTTGGACTCTGTATCTCCGACATTGGTGACTGATTGTCCTCGACATTTTGATCTTGTTGGATGACATTTTGGACTACCATATCGGTGACCTATCGGATTCTATCTCGGTGACCTACCGGTGCTGTCTACCTCCCCCACCTCCTTCGTCTCTCCTCCCACTTTTCATCTGTGTATGTGTGTACGGGATCTGGGCATCGTCCATGCTTGGCCCGGACCCCACCATCTCACGATTGTATGTGTGTGGAGTGATTCTATGAGTCAGTCTATGTGAGTCAGTCCGTTTATCAGACCTCCGCTGCATATATGCTCATCCTACATTGGTTGATCTTTGGTTCTGCCCATACTTATTGAAGTATGTAACAGTTTTGGTATCGGAGCAGACCAGTTATGGATCTGCTCACCAGGTAAGACTGATTTAGGAATCAGATTGTTTCTTCAATCTTCCAAATCAGCGCTGTATTACTATCAAGTTCAAAGTTGCAATTTTTTTTTATTTATTATTATTATTTTTTTTCGGTATTCTGTTTATTTCGGCACTTCCGTTTCGATTCAGTATTCGGACTTAGTATTCGGATTTCTGTTTTTTGCCGGTATGCTGTTTAATTAGGTTCCGATAAATTGATACTAATCCAACATTCTGTTTAATTCGGATTTCTGGTTAGAAATTCGTAATTAGGGTTAAATCAGTTTTCTGCTGATTTCGGCATTCTGATTTCTTTCGGTATTCCGTTTTTATTTCGGCATTCTGATTTTTAATCCGGTATTTCGTTTTACAAATCGGCATTTCCGTTTTATCGCAGTAGTGGAACGTAGGGTTACAAAAATTTGGTTTTCGCTCAACTTGGGAAATTCGAACGTTTTGGGAACCGTAAATCCGGAAATTCCGCCGAAACGCGGAACATTAGGGTTGGGCCCGAAATTTTCGCGAATTTTTTTTTCTTTCCTTTGTTTGGAGAAATTCCGAAAACAGGGTTAGGCCGTTAAGCATCGGATTTTGACGGTGGAAATTCCCGAAATTCACGTTTTTGAAAATTCGAGTGTTTTCCCCTAACTTTTTCCGAGAATTTTTTTCGGCAAACTAATCCGAATCTAACCCTCAAAGTGGCAACTCCCGGATAGTTCACTCATTACCGGTGAACTCCCGGACCGAAATTGATCTCAAAGAGACCTGATCTTAGTACAATTCAAAATTCGTTCATTATCATTATTGCAAAGATTGTTTTAATTGATTATCGTTAAGAAATCATTATTGTAAAGATTGTTTATTGATTATCATTAAGAATTATTCTTTCGTAGTAATCATTAATTTATTTTATTGATTAAGTCATTCGTTATTAATTCTTCTTATTACGAATTTTTGGAATTATTTACGGGAAAATTTATTTTTTTCTGTTTGATTAGGTGTCTTAAGGTCCATCCGTGGGACAGGGACTGTATGAATACTGCTTGATCTGTTCTATCCCTGTGCCCACCCTCTCCCTCACACTGTTCTGCGATCCTTCGAACGAGCCAGTCTTCAGCAACAGTTTCTGATGCCAGCAGGGCCAGCCTCCGAACAGCAGCCACGACGCAGCAAGAGGATCGCCGATCACCAACAGCGACAGCAACCTCCAGTTCCGCAACCGCCGCAGACCAGTACTCAGATGGCGAACACGCCACACAGCGGATCATCATCCGAGGGTTCGACAGCTAGTAATGCCGAACCCTTACCGGTCTGTCCGGTGCGAGGGTCGAATGAGCCCCTCCCGGACTTCATTCAGAGAATGCAGGACTATACAGCCGCACTCACCCAGGTCAAGGAACAGCAAGAGGCTGCCACAGCCGAGCAGAGGAAGCTGCAGCACAAACCCGGCGTCAAGCCGAGGCAGACCGCTTGGCGATCGATCAGCTCAACGCCGGCAGCGCTGATCTTGTAAGTGCTAACCAAGCACAATGGACAGCGGTGCTCAACGGGATGTGTTATGTCCCGGCACCCGGCAGCGAGCCGACAACAGTACGGCAAGAGAGGCACGACCTGGCAGATATTCTACTTCATACAATGCGCGCCGTCATTTGGAACAGCTCCATGGGGGAGCTGCATTCCCGGTCCACACTGCAGCTGCAGCACGATCTGAGCCACAATGTGAAGATACTTGCAGCAGCTGTCAAGGTCTCAGACAACCAGTTGAAACAGCTGGATGCACGCATTGCTACCTTGGAGGCAAGGCCTCCCCAAGCAGTGCCAGGCTGCACGCCAGATATGACAGACACAACGAAGCAGCTCAATGGGCGCATCGATCATGTCGTCAATCTCATCGGCGACATAGGTGCTTTCAATGGGCCGGACACGATCAGTAGCACGGTGGCCGCCATCAAGACGGACATCATCAAGCTGCAGACGAAACCGGACGCCACTACGAAGAACTACAAGATGCCGCACTTCGACATCAGCAAGTTCGACGACCACAACAAGACGGACGCTTTGGCATGGTCGCAACGTTTCCTCACGGAAGCATCATGCCGCACTGTCCCGGATGACTATCTGATGAAGGCGTTATACTTACAGCTGATTGGAGGAGCGCAGGCATGGATGAACCATCTGGCGGCTAACCACACATGCACCATCGCCGAACTTCACACGCACATTACGTGGAAGGATTTCGAGAAGCTATGGTTCACCCGGTTCATGGTCCGCAACGTCGTGAAGGCGGCCATGAACGAGGTGTACACCTGCTCTCAAGGAAGTATGCCAACTCGAGACTGGACAACCAAGTGGCAGAAGATAGTGACCACGCCAGACTTCGATTTGACTTTTCCTAATCAACGATCCGAGTTCTTCTCGCGATCGTGCGCAGGATTGCGGTCAGCACTCGGTAACGAGTACGACTATACCTCGTTCCAGGCTATCCTGGATCGCGCAAACCTGGTCATCCAAACGGACGACAAGGCCGCTAACGAGAAACAATCCCAGCCGCATTATGTGGCTAAGCATGGCTATCAACGTCCGACACATAACAATGTCGTGATTTCTGAAGAAACAGACGATCTCCACGCTGCAGCAGCATCCTCGAGTGATGGAGGAATTGTAGCAGCGCTCCCGCCGAAGCATCCCAAGAGAGTTCGGAAGAACAAGGCGACACAAGAGTCGACATCGACGGGAATTGGATGCAGCCATGGACGGCTTACAAGATAACCAAGGATGTCTATGACCTTCGTCAAAAGTACGGATACTGCCTTTGGTGCAACGGCGTCAGTCATTTGACCGCACAATGCCCCGAAAAGGGCAAGGCACGCGCACCCCGTCCAACAAACTCGGGAAACTGAGTTACACAAGGAGAGGGGCGACGTCTCTCCTCACTCCGCCGGAACCGGTTGCCTTGCTAGCAATCGATGTCACTACCGGGGAGCCTGTGTTAGTCGCTGATTCTCGTGCTACGTACGAGGATTATGCCGCCCAGCTGGTACCACCACTAGACCAGCCAAGCCACGTGCACTTAGATTGTGTATGCGCAGCCTGTACACCGTCCGCAAGTGATCCGGTCAGTTCGCCACTGATTTCCGAGGACTCGACGGCGTGGTCAAGACTGGAGGAGCTTGACCCGCTCACGAGAGAGGACTTCGCTTGGATGCCTCTACCCTCGACCAGAACCTTGCGAAGGCCGCATTGCAACGCCTTGATGGCAAATCTACGCTCCTATTTGCACACTACAGTACCAGCTCCGTTGACGGACGACGGGGTAGTGGTTGTCGATCTCCGCTCCTATCTTGCGAAGATCGACCGTGAGTACGCCACCCAAAGGTACGCAGAAATCTACGCCCCTTTGCTCTATATCCGCATTCAAATCGGAACGGCAACCTGTAGTGCCTTACTGCGGAGCGTCTCGCAACTTTATGAGCCAAGCCTTTATGGCCCGCGCAGGTCTTGGCCCGCGCGTTCGAAGGAAGACGCAACCTACACAAGTTACACTCGCGGACGACCGCACGCCAAAGTCAATTGATCGATGCGTTGACGGCGTTCTGGTCTGCTTTGCGCCACTTGCGTGCGAGCCGGTGTCTTTTGACATCCTCGACACCAAGTTCGACATGATTCTAGGCATGTCTTGGTTGCGTAGCGCCAATCATCCAGTGAACTTCCACGACCGGACCGTTCACATTCGTGAACGGAACGGAGTGTTAGTCCCATGTACGGTCGCGACCCCTCACACTTCGATTGCTTGTCAMGTGGTTTCCGTTGCGAGAATTCGCGACGCCATTGCTCGGAATGACGTCGAGGAGATGGGCCTTGTATTCTTGCATGCTCTCCCCTTGCCGGACGGACCAGCCGCGTCACCGCCGGACCCACGCATCACTCACCTCTTGGACGAGTATGGAGACGTCTTTGAGGCGCCCACCGGAACGGTTCCGGATCGGCCCATACGTCACGGGATCACTCGCGAGGCGGGCGCCGTCCCTCCGCGTGGATGTATCTACCGCATGAGCGAAGAGGAACTCGAGGTGCTTCGTGCAGAACTCGATGACCTTCTCGACAAGGGCTGGATTCGCCCTAGTTGCTCGCCATACGGTGCACCTGCTCTCTTCGTCCGGAAGAAGAACAAAGATCTACGGTTATGCATCGACTATCGCAAACTTAACGCACAAACCGTAAAGAACGCCGGCCCTCTCCCTTGGATTGATGATCTCCTTGAGCGGTTAGGCGGCGCGACGTACTTCTCGAAGTTGGACTTGAAGTCAG